GCCGGGCCCCTCCGCCTGCTGGACTCGCTTGGCCAGCAGGGGGAGCCGTCTCCCCTTCACCGTCCGGCTCCCCACCCTCATCTCTGCCGGGTGCCACTCCGCGGCCAGGGCTGCAGCTTTGAACCCCAAACTGGGACCATCTATCTGAGCAGGGATTTCTGAGCAGCGGCTGGCAACAGGCTGACCCCGGAACCCTCGAGTGGGGGTATTTCTGAGCTAATGAACAGGTGATAAAGGGGACGGCGGCCTGGAGGCATGACAGGTCTCTGAGCCCTTGTGGAGGGTCCCTTCTGTCTGCTGGGCTGTCATCCGGGCCAGGGGAAGTCCCAGTCGGGGAGGGACCTGGATAGCAGGCTCCCCACAGCACGGGGGGGGGGGGGGGGGGGGGGGAGACAAGGAAGCGTGTTCTGGGTGGACGGAATGGCACGTGCAAAGGCCCAGGGCCAGGAGGAAGCAAGGCCGGTCTGTCCTACTGCCAACAGCTCGGTGTGGCCGGAACAGCGTGGAGGAAAACGGGGGTACATGAGGCCGGAGAGGGGCGGGGGGGGGGGCAGATGCAGGACCATGACACCAGGCTGAGGGGGGCCTGGGCTGCTGGGGAGCCCCTGGAGGGCAGGTCACCCCTGGACAGAGTGTCCTCGGGGGCCCTGTGTGGGGTGGGGTGGGCTGGAGAGAGACACGGAGGTGGGGAGGCTTCGGGCAAGCATTCAGAAGGAAGAGGACCAACAGCTGGGGCTGTGGGCCAAGGCGGGGGCGGGGGGCACAGCCTGGGGCAGCCTGTGCAGGAGGGAGGCGTGTTTCTGGGCTCCCACAGCCCCAGGGCCTCTGCCCTAACCCATGTTTGTGTCCACCCGCCTCCCACTGGAGGCCTCAGCGGTCACTTGCTAAGCTCTCCTCACTCGCTTCTTTCTTGCCCTTCAACTCCCCTGGGACACGCCCCAGGCTGGTCCGGTGCTCCCGCCCCGCCCTCCGACGCCCCGCGGGTCTGACTCCCGTAGCTTTGCAAAGGGCACGCGCTCTCACCTCGGACCTCCAGCTTGCACTCCGCCAGCGCCTCCCCCAGCTCGTTGAACGCGCGGCAGGTGTAGGTGCCCCCGTCGAAGGGGGACGGGCGGCGGATGTTCAGCGTCAGGATCCCCTGGTAGTTGGTCATCAGGTACTTGGGGTCCTCCCTGATTTCCATCTTGTTCTTCATCCAGACCACCTTCGGCTGCGGAGGGGGGCGGGGAGGCAGGCAGCTCAGAGAGGGTGCCTGGGCCGTGGAGAACGGGCCCTGGGCGGGAGGCCTGAGTCCTCCTGTTGGCTGTGCCGCCTCCTGATTATGGCCGCATGGGGTGAATGAATGAGTGGAGCCCACGAATGAGCAGATAGATGGAGGTGGAGGAGGTGAACTAATGAACCCACGGTGTGCCGACCGGGGCCAAAGCTAAAAATGTGCAAGTCAGCCCTGGCCGGTGTGCTCAATGGTTAGCGTCAGCCCACGAGTCAGAGGGTCACAGGTTCGATTCCTGGCCTGCAGGTTTGATCCCCAGCCTTGGTCACACATGTGAGAGGCAACCAATCGATGTGTGTCTCTCTCATCAATGTTTCTCTCTCCCCTCCTCCCCCCTCTCATTTTCACTCTCTCTAAAAAAATAAAAAATAAATGTAAAAAATATCCTCTGGCCCTGGCCGGTTTGGCTCAGTGGATGGAGCGTTGATCTGTGGACTAAAGGGTCCCAGGTTCGATTCCGGTCAAGGGCACATGCCCAGGTTGCAGGCTCCATCCCCAGTGGGGAGCGTGCAGAAGGCAGCCAATCAATGATTCTCTCTCATCATTGATCTTTCTCTCTCTCCCTCTTCCTTAAAAATATATTTTATATATATATCCATCCTCTGGTGAAGATTAACAAAAACAAAACAACTTGGAAGTCAGACCAGAAGTCAGCAAACTTCGGTTGCAAAGGGCCAGGTAGTCGCTATTTTAGGACAGTGGGCCCTGAGCTCTCTGTGGCCGTGGACAATACACAAGCGAGTGTGCAGGGCCATGTTCCAATAAAACTTTATTTAGAGAAACTGGTGGCAGGTGGGTTTGACCAGCCGGTTAAAAGGGAGCAAATTCCATGAACTGAGAAGAGAGAAGTCCGAGAGGCAGAGGGGCTGTGATGGGAGGGGGAGGGGCTTCATCTTGCTGACAATGCTCCTCCAGGGTCGCCCGCCCGCCCCACACGCACGCACGCACCTTGGGGTGGCCTCTGACGGCGCAGTTGAGAGCAGCAGTGTAGCCAGCCACCACCACGCGGTCCAGCAGCGGTGTCAGGAACTTGGGAGCCATCCGGAAGTCATGCTCCTTGTACTCCGGCGGTTTCCAGCTGATGCCT